AGTGAGATATTATTGAAATAATTAAATTATAGTGGGAGCTAAAATCGTCTAAAAACTGATTCATCCTTGATATGATATTTAATATATTATAGCAAAGCTTTCATAAGATCATCTTCTGTTCTAAATTTTTTTAATAAATTTAATTTATTGTCCAATCAAGTGAAATGAATCTATTAAATGTATATTGATTTTAACTAAGTAGTTGACAAAATAATTAATGATAATATTGTTCAAATGATTAAATAAAATAAATAAATATTGAAAAATTATTGAAATAATTGAATTATAGTACGACTAGAATCATTGAAAAAATTATTCTCACTTAAGGTAATATCTAATATATTATAGATATTTGTTGGCTGATTCATTGGATGTTGGGACGGATGCTAACTATACAGTAAATTCTTCAACCAAGAAAAAGATAATATTAATTTGTATAGATTTAATCAATTGGGACAAAACTCCAAAAATCTCACAAAATCATCTTTGTTCCCAAGGAAAAAAAAATTCACGTTTGATAGAAATTAAAAATAGATTTTTAATAGATTTTGAAAAAGTTGATGAAATGCATATGGTTGAAATATTGTGGGAATCATAAAATATGTTGTTAAAATTAATTATTCACTAAAAGGAAAAATTTTGAATTTACGTGTAATATTATTTTATTGAAAAATGTATTATTGAAATTATGTAAAATCATTATTTCAAAATGTATATTTTTCAAATAATGCAGCTCAAACAGAGCCTAAAAGAGGGTGTTTGTATGGTACTGTTTATATGGATGTGTGCCCACTGTTTGCAATTCTTTACTTATTTTTTTAAGCCTTACACGCTAACACTTTTACGTTATTTTTTTTCAACCACTCAAAACTTGCCACTGCCAACAATTTTTCTTTTACTTTCACACAGCAATCTCACTTTCCATCTTCTTTCTTTCACTCTTTGGGAAGCAAGAGTACCAATACTTCCACGTGGAACTACAATATCTTGAAAAGGAGGATGAGAAAATTGAATATTTTCTCCAGTAGGAGTTTTCCAATTCCTTTTTGGAATATTTATAGTTTGAATAGTTTTTTCTTTCTTTGAAAAAATCTTTCATTTCTTCAAAGAAATGAAAGATTCGTTATTTTTTTTCAACCACTCAAAACTTGCCACTGCCAACAATTTTTCTTTTACTTTCACACAGCAATCTCACTTTCCATCTTCTTTCTTTCACTCTTTGGGAAGCAAGAGTACCAATACTTCCACGTGGAACTACAATATCTTGAAAAGGAGGATGAGAAAATTGAATATTTTCTCCAGTAGGAGTTTTCCAATTCCTTTTTGGAATATTTATAGTTTGAATAGTTTTTTCTTTCTTTGAAAAAATCTTTCATTTCTTTGAAGAAATGGGTTTTTTGTTAAAAACTTTGAAATACCCCCACTCATAAAAACTTAAATTTTCAGGGAATTCATAAATTTCTTCTCAATAAGATTCTCTTTCTTTTTTTTTGAAAAGTTTTGGCGAAATATCTTTCAAAAATATTTAACATCAGAAGTTTGATCAGTTTTGAATTCATTTCTTCTGTTAATTCTTGAAGAAATAACATTAGTTTGATGACCAAGTTTTTCATTTTAAGAAGAAAACATAGTAGTTGTGGTTTTTCTGGATTTCACTTCCATTCTTTGATTTTTGATTATGTAGAAATCAATTTACACAAAGAAGCTTTAGCAACAGATTTATTGTCTTTATATTTTATCAGTCAATGTGAGATTTTAACCAATTTTTTATTTATATATTAGCTAATTTTTTTGGTCATTCATAATAAGTACATATTGTTACTATTCCTGTTATAATACCATGGTAGATGGTTGGTGTTTTTCACTTTGCAGATTATAGCAATTTGGGCAGTGAGCTAGTGGGATACTATTTATAAATGATTTATAATTTTTATCAAAAAGAGGCATAATAATATCCTCCCACGTAGTAAACTTTTATTCTTTAATCGCAATGGTAATTGTTGACATCTTAAAACTTCACATACAGTTCATTTGACAAAGTTCTTCAACCCATTGTTGAGGTATATTTGTTGGGAATTTACCTATCATGTACAGCGAAATTTAAACAAAATTTGTAATTCTCACCAAAGACTTTCTTTGTGCTTAGAGAAAAAATGTGATAAGGAATCTATTAATATAAGTTTAAGTGGACTTGGCCGGTCTTTTAAACTTAGCTTGATCCAATTTTTAATTAATCAAATTAATTAAATTTGTTCCATGAATTAATCAATCCATTTAATTAATTCGAACATATTAACAAGCAACCCAATTAATCAATTGTCCAATACTTGTTAATTAATTAATTGGTAAATCTTATTCTTCTAGTTTTCCTTTTGTGTGTGACCCATCAGGTTTCCGATCACGATACCTAACAATATGAATTATTATTTTGATCTAATTAAAATCGACAAATTAAAATATCCTTTTTTAATTTATCACCAATTCAAATCCGTATCCTAGATTGGCATCTTCACGAGTAAGGGTAATACATGTGACCAAAAATATTATATGGTATGACAAAATCAAACTTCTTCGTTTACCGTGAAATTATAATCATTTCGTCAATATGATCCAATTAATTACGATCGATCATATCATTCATCCCACTATTAAGTCAATGCTCATTTTCGACTTATGAATACGCTTTGGTCAAGGATGTTATCAACTTAACTGAATGAAATGTAGATCATAATCTCTTACTATCTAAGAGTGAAGAATTTTTTATTGATTATTTACAACCTTCATATAATTCTTGACTTACCCGAACGATGCCATAGCGACCCTTAGCAGAGTAGTATCCAACATCACCCAAGTATGATTGTCTTCATATAAGGTATTATGATGACTTCAAGTAAAAGGACCAATTTCACTATCGAACGTTAGCAATTAACCATTGATACTCAAATAGTTATCCATTTGGAATCTCTCCAACAGGTCTCCAATGTTTTGTTCTATAACAAAACATCCACGTGTTCATTTAAGTGTCACCACACTTTAGCTCGTGAGATCAGCTACTTACTTCACAAGTAAGAAATGCCACACGTGATGGTCTAACTGTATTAACGATCCGTATCTCGTTATTACTTACGACCATGGTTTATTCAAGATCCAATTATATGTAATTTGTATCTCACAATCATAACTCCTTGTGATTAACAGATTACCTAAAAATTGGATTTTCGGATTCTATTATTTAATATTATTTATTACAAAATTAATTTAAATAAATAATAGATCTCGCCAAAATCAAATGCATTAAATATATTAAAAGCGTTTACAACCTAAATCGATTGGATCTAGGGCATAACACTTACAATAAGTTGTTCACTGAATTTCATAGAATCGCAGGTTTGTGCTTTTATTCAAAACTAGTCGTTGTCACGTGCGTTGCACGAGTTTTGTATTTATTCTATTTCTATTAGTGTATAAATTTGTAAAGTTTTGAATATTGTTATTTAGGAATGTTGCTTAAAATTTATATAATTAATTGAAAATACCAAATTGTATAGAAGAAAAGATGCTGAAAGTAAACAAATTATTATATTGAAAAACAACATATTTATGTCAATTTCTAGATGATATAACAAAAAATTTACAACATGTTAAAAACTTTTTTAAAACCTCACAAAAATATTATGTTACTCCCAAAATAATACAAACCATATGTAAATAAGACATGAATGAACTTACATTAATTGTTTTGCTGGCATAGTTTGACGAGTTTGATACTGATTAACTAATTTTGACACGCTTCATATGATTGAGCTCAACTTTTCCATTTTCTTTTCCTTTCACTATGTTTCTGGCATTTAAGATGCACATGCAAGTAGGTTTGCATTTTATGTACCTAGCTCATAAGAGACGTCTTCCTTACGGCCCTACTTATTTAGGAAGTCCTCTGATGGCCTATTTTTGTGCATCAACAATCATGTATCATCATAAAATTTAATATTCTTGCCATTCCAAACCACAAGGGGTAGAGGATTCGGACCATCTATTACCCACTCCTAGAGCTCTTCCAAAGTCTCACTCCAAGAGTCCAAGTGAGAATCCTACATAGTCAAACAGCTTGCAAGTTTCACACACTAAAACCCACCAAAGAAATAAATATTCAGAGGAAGCAAGAGATCAAGTTCTACCAAATTGACATCCAAAATCCGAGGACATGTACCAAGAATTTCAAGCCTATCAGTTTATCTTGAACTTCCCCACAGAAGCCACAAAAATGATATCCTTAGTAGTTCATGAAAAATTACCATGTTGATGATATGGATATCAATGATAAGATGAGTAGAGAAGCAAGACTAACAATGTTTTTTCAAAGTGGCAACTCTTCCCATCTAACACTTCATTCCACGAAGATCTCATACTACGCGAACAATTTTCTCTAGTGCACTATTATATAAAGCAAAACTCAGTAGATACCCATTTCCAAATGAAGATTACCAAGAAAACCATCTTATTAGCTGCATTTGAAGATATATATTTTTCAAATGAAAAGTAAATTATTAGATGGTTGGCATAAACTTCGTTGCAATTATAAATGAATAAAGCATCATTTTGAAAGATACTACCATTTCTATCATATTGCAAGAGACAGCAGCAAAGTAATTTCAGAAATAAATTAGTTTCCCCTACTAAAAGAAAACCAAAAAATATGTGCAACTTTTATGAGGAATAGGAACAGGTGAACTTAAGAAGATTATTGTAACTACAATCACGTTAATCTGTAGCAAATTAGGTCAATTCTAGAACCTGAAATTCCTATACTGCAATATTTCATCATTGCTTAGCTTCCATTTAAAAACATATTATAGTGCCCTTGAAGAAGAATGAAACAATTCGAAAAATAAAGAAAATCATTAATGTATTTACGTATAAGAATTTACACTGCACAAAAGAAACACGAAGAAAGCTCGTAGACGCATAGGAAAAGAGACCACAACTTCTAATTTCTCACGTGACTATAATTTTGATCTATTTGGTGTTTATTAAACAAATTTTGATATCCAGAGAGCAAAAAGAAAACAGAATGCATCGCTATCCACTATTAGTTTGCTAACCAGTGAAGAATAGTGCAAAATTGGTACTACTTAGAAGGAAAAGAAAGATTTATTATGTAAATAATCATATGAAGAAGTTTCCGTAGCTTAGATTCGGAATGAGCAACATCAGTTTGAACTGAGACATGCGGAATTGTAATTATTTGGTGCTCATCTATACTGTATATTGCATGACCACATATACATCCATTTTGCCGCCGCTTCATGACCAGTATCAAATAATATGACTCCAAGAATTTGATACAACCTACAAATCACCACCAAATATAAGTAGAAGACAAGAAAAGACTTCAAACAAATAATCCCATTCTAATATAAAGCACTTCAATAAATTTAAAAGTGCAACAATGCTTCAATTCAACACTTACCGACAATGCCATATACTTTGGCCACAAAATTGAGTCCTCCAGTTACTCGATTGCCCTCAGCAATCTGTTGTGGAGGATATCCCACAGGCTCTCCACTGATGTTTAAATCTGAGGGTTCCATTCTATCAGAGCCTCTTGTTCCTATTGCTCCCAATCAAATAAAACCTTTGACAAAATTAATTGAAAAAATAATTTCTGTTAAAAGCCAATAAAGATACAACCATTTGCCAACTGAGAGAAATCGATATACTTTAAATTTCACATACTTGCAATCAGGGAAATGAAACTCAAGACAATAATTGAAAAGAGTAACTTAATCCAATGAAACAAAGTACTTACAACCATCCCCCCCCCCCTCCTTTTTTTTTTTTTTTTTACAATAAACTAGGTGAGGCATTCTTACTCATTTTGTCTTCCTTTTTTTTTTTTGCTTTTTTATTTTCACTTCACGCAAAGTACAACATAGCTTAGAAATATCATCTGGGAAATATGATTTACCTATGCATTATTTGAAGAGAATTTGTAATAGTTAAAAAATTAAGACAGTTCAAGACACCAAAAGATGACAATGTGAAATTCAACTTAAAGTTCATTTCTAGTAAAAGAGGCTTCCTAAATTTCTTTGCAACTCATACTCCAATCAACAATTTATACCTACAATAACAAGATGATATCCAAAACCTCTATCTCAATTAGCAATTTTCTATAGAAGAATACATGAAATAAATAAATGAATGGAGAACAGAATCATTTACCAGTGGTGAATGCAAAAGTCAAGCCCACCGTAAAAGTAATAGAAGCAGTGAACAATCCCAAAAAACAATAATTCACCGAATGCTTATGGTAATAGTAATAAAGGGGTACAAAACTGCCATTACAACAAAAAATCAACAAATAAAATCAATCAAATCCATAAATCGGAAACCCACTTCGAATATTTGAAACAATTTGCAAAAGAAATAATATTCATACCAATAAAAGGTGCAATAATTAGAAAAATATTTGAGGGTATAGATATTAAAAGTGCACCAAATCATACCCACATGAAGAAGTGCCGACCCAAATTGCAAAAGGATGAAGATAGTAGGTGTAGTCGTTGATTGATTTTCTCGATGGTTTTCTTTCGCCTCCATCAAGAGAGAAACTACTGGTAATCGTTGATTGATTTTCTCGATGGTTGAGGACAATTACACCCTCAATATATTAAGAAACAGAAAGGAAGCAAGGTTATGGCAGTAGAGATGGTGAAGTTGCGTGTGAAAAATGAAGGAATATGTGGAGGGATGGTTGTGTGAAGTGAAAAAGAAAAAAAAAATTTGTACTGTAGAATGGGATTAGGTTACTGTTGCATCTACAGTAACCCCTCATTGCCATTTTTCTTTAAGGTTAGATATCAATTGTGCTTGATATGTAATTCTTCGATGTCAAAGAGCATTTCCACTTTACTTATGTACGAAACATTAGTTTTGGTTGGTTTTCCTAACTTAAAAGAAAGAATCACAGCTAGATATTGATTTTAATGATTTCGTTTATTCAAAACCTAAAAAAATTGTTAAACTGATTGTTGACCTGGTAAAGCTAGCTTGTATTCAAGAAAGATGGTTCAACCAATGTAGGTAAAATAGGATTCTGTATTATATGTGTATTAAAAAACTATGAATTTTCAAATACTAATTTTTCTAGACTGTATGTAAGGAAATTCTAACTAAATGAGTGATGGAGATAGAGTTGTGCATCTTTTCTTTTCCTATCCTACATATATAAAAGAGCGAGTTCTATGTCATTTCCATGGAAGCGTGTCAAAATTCTTTTTTTTTTCTTTCCTTTCCTTCCTCAAAATGACGACGTTTTCTTCTTAAAATCTTCAATAATGCTACTCAGTCATTCTGCATGACACTCGGCTTGACCACATGAGGTGGAAAGTCTATTTAAAAAAAAACAATAAAGAAAAATGGGCACTTATTTCAACCGGGTTTTGAAATTCAAAATTTAAAATTGTTTGATACCTAGCTCAAAATGCTTACGTGGTTCACCCCAAATCAATAACCCTTTTCAACTCACAAACGGGGAGTCACTACCCTAATTTGATTTCCTCAACTTTGCAGCGCTGAGTGTCATGGGGTTCCAGCTCCTAGATAGAGACACCGTCGAAGACCATGGAATCCACGTTGTTGACGTGCTCGCTCTTCCATTTCTAAGACATTCGGCCGCTTGTCATTGACTCGTAGCTACTACCGCCCATCTTCTCAGACCAAATCTGGAGAAAACTCAGGTATATATGTATATATATTAAGTGAGAATCAACTACATGAAGTGCCAAAGATCTATTGGCTTGGTTCACAGTTGTACACCTATAGATGGGAAAACTTTGCCTTGTTGGATATTATTTATGAAAGTGGGTTCGAGCTTTCATGTGCTTGCTACTTGTTTGTGAGTACACAACGACAAGTTTTACCTTATAGTGTGTGTATATATACGGTCGTTATTTATTTTGACAACACTCTTTCATTGATTTTTTTTTTTTTTTTTTGAATTTGGTCTCAAGATTTAAGCTGGTTTTAACACAAGTTTCATTGTAGTTAATGGTTCTTCCAAGTATAATTCTTGTATAGTTGCTAAGACTCAGAAGGTCGAAAATTCTACTACAGACCGTGAATTTTCTGTTGTATTTATGATTAGTTCATGTTTAGGAATTGTAGGAGATTTTGGAAAAAATGAAATTTTCAAAATATGGAGGCCAAAAATAGGTGGAAAATCAATTACGAAAAGAATTACTGCTGTTGGTTTTGTTTCCTGTTATGACAAAAAATTGAAATCTGGTTATTATTGTTTTATTCACCAACTTCAGTTGAGCTAATTTTGTACATGTGTTTAGATGAATATGGATTTGTTTCATGCTTGCTTTACTTTTGCAGATGAATTAGTAGCATTATTGGTAAACAATAATGCTACTTAACCATGTGAAATCTGTTCATGGTTTTTTCATTTGTTTATATATAAGTGGTGCTTATGATTTTGTTTGGTGTTTGATTCACAGCTTAAAGTGAGAGGAAAGAATTATGGAGTTTGTCATAGCTGTAGACTAAATGGTCATTTTTTCGCGGAATGCCCGAACAAACGACCCTGCCCATGGTGCAAACATGCCTTTTTGAAGTGCTTCGAGGTGGAGAAGAACACCGACAACAAAGGTAAACTATTCAATACGTGCAGCATGAAATGTGGTTATTGAGAGTGGGTGAAAAAGGAGGAAAGGGTGCTGAATCAAGCTCAGTCACCAGGACACCAGATTTGTCTTGCATTTTCGAAACACGATGCCGATTAACTGATGAACAAGAAATGGAGATTGCTATGAATGTGACTATATGCAAAGGAAGAGAGCACATCACTAAATGGGTTAAGAATGGAAATTCATCAGCCTTAGCTAAAGCATTGTCATTCGACTGGGATTGTAATTTGAATTATTTAAATATAAGGATTTGTAAACTTGATCTCAGGTATTATGGAAGCTAGGATGTTAGAATTATGTGTGTATGTGTATGTTTAATTAGATGGAGTTTTTGGTAAAGCCTTTGAATTTACTGGGAATGGTTTGATGATTTAGTTGATGGGTTTTTGGGATACCCGTTAGTGATACAAGATTTCCCTTTCCATCTAGAAAAATTTATATATTTACCATCTTTGGCTATTCAATTTGTTCAAATGTTCCTTTTGTGAAGCTAGAACTCCTTGAATTCTTGCCAGTCAACCAGTCTATTCTGAAAACATTTTATATGTTGAAGGCTTCTTCCACGGAACAATCCCAAAATCATCGTTGAACTCTCCCATCCCTTCAACATATAAACTATTTGACTAAAGTTCCAGCACCAGATTTGTTTCGTTTTGCATACTTGTATATGATATCAAGAATAACTTCGTAGAATTTGTCTCGTTGTGAAAGGTTGAATCTTTTGTTCTCGGTAGACAATCCAAATTATGTAAACAATCCAAAAGTAGAATGCAACAGATCATGTTTGACTAGGCACTGTTATAACTAAAACGTAATTTCCAGTAATTTTTTGTTTCCAAAAGAAGCTTTGCTTTTGTAACAGAAAGGTTGGAAATATTTCAAAATAATGAACTTATGCTCGGTTTTGACAATAAAATTAAATAACTGAAAAAATAAACTTACAACTTCACAAGTAATTTTTATAAGCTTATCCAGATAGGCTAAGCTCACAAGCTATTTACAGTTCATCAAGATACCCGAACAATCACAGCCACTTGGCATTGAAATCAAAGAGAAAAATAACTAGCTTTTTTCTTCTTCATTCTTGCTAAAATTTCCAAGAGTAAAATGGTAGTAAAAGCAATTAATATCCGAAACATAATTAAATAATATCAGATTTACAAGGTTGATGGATCACAAAATCGAGCAAATGGAGCAGATTATGCAGTAACCAATGCGACCACTTTCTGCAGCAACATAAAGCACAGTTTCGCCTGATTCATTCTACTTCGACAACAATTCCTTCAACTCTTCATCCCCACAATTAGTAATGATCTCCACATCTCCTTGTAAATTCCCTGCTCTTACTCAGAGTTGATCACAATGCAATCTTCTAAAATAAGGTCTCACAAAACATTTCTTGATAACTGCTCCTAGCCATTTAATAAAACACAAAATCCATTAGACACATCTGATAAACCCAAAACCACCTTTATATCCAAGTCTCAAATTACCTTTTAGGTAAAAGTGACCGAGGGTAAGTTTCAAGTTCAACAAGGCTAACCACAAATATGAGAAAGCTTGTTAAACAATAGCAAATTAGAAAAAACATCAGCTTGAAGACATAAAATGTCAAATACCAATCAATGAAAACTCACACTAATTTTAACAGAAATGCTGCACTTACTTATCCGCATAATATACATAGAGACAAAATCACAAGTCTTAAAAACAACGCTATGATATATATTAGAACAACAGCATTCTAAGTTCTAACTAAACTAATCAACCAAAAGGATTGGGAAGCTAAAACTATAGAGCTAATAGGACTGAATGCAGCAAATCTGGAGCGTAAACAATCATAGTCCATAAGAATTTTGAGGACAACAAATGCAAGCACGCATCTGCCACTTGTAAGATGTCAAAGCAAAAGAAACTCGCACATCTGGAACCTCACGATAGTTGAGTATAAAATGAAATTAAAAAAAATAACAAAGTAATTATCAATAGCAGCCAAGTAACACGACCTGAAGATTCCAGCCTCCAAAACAGAAAGTGAAAACTCTCCAATCCATTGCATGATTATAATTGCAAACATCAAAAATAGTAAAACATGGACACATTGTGGAATAATATCCACGTTGCTACGAAGTTATATGGCAAATAATTACTCACTTCATATGGTTACAGCACGGCCGAGAGCTCATATATTGGGATTGATGATGTTTCCTCCATCAAGGTGATTATCTAACTGTCGTGTTTCATTGTCAACAGCATCATTCATATGTCTTGTAGCCATACCTTCATATGTCGACTTCACTTAAGGTTGTTTATTATATAGTAATGAACGTACGTAATGAATAATGTTTGTAAACTATTATGTTCTATATAACAACTATGTTACCTTGCATGTTGAATAGAAGATTTGTTGAGGATGGAGGGTTGACACATGTGGACTGTAAGTGTTGTGTGAATTGAAGATTTTGGTTGCCACCCTACATGAAATAACATTATCAGCACATCGTATATTTTCGATGCAATTAAACCATACGCTAAGTACTAACCATAAGGAGATGCGTATATGAGAAAGGTAGCGGCATGTGTAATTGATGTGGTGACTGAAAGATGGGTGCATCATTTCCTGTATTACTTGCTTACCTTCGACTTCTTTCCCTTCGTTGAACTCGAAGTTGGCTACAAAACATGGAATGGTATTAGACATTATCTCTACAATGACTTTACAACATTTGGGTACCAAAATATGGGCATTACCTTAACTCTGTTCATATTCAATACCAATTGGCTCTTCTTCCAAAGTTTCCTAGGGGCACCTTTTCTGTTCGCACATTCTGGATCTCTGATGCTACCACCTCCAATATCTAGTGATGCTCCACACTTGGATGATGTTTGAGTAATATACGGGGACAAGATATTACTACTAGTACTTGACTTCAACGTCATCATCTGTTTACATTGACTATCGATCCACTCAATTATGACATTGGATTTGACTTCATCGTCTATCATCATGTCCGCCAATGTAGCAAAGCGTTGACACATTTTGTCGTACATCAATTTGTCCGGAAAACTAACCATACCATCATAATGCACTGCTACCCTCGTGTGGGCTCTACTGACATCTTATCGCCATCTCCGTATTATATACCTTTTTGGAACTGATTTGATATCATTACAGACCAGTACTGCAATAGTATGTCTGCAAATAATTCCTCGAAACTCAAAATTGTGACAACTGCAAGTGATTTCACATTTGTCTCTTGAGATGAGACGAAAAAGGTTTTTTTCTTCAAACCGTCATGTATTACGTCTTCTTATATCTCATAAGTCGTCCCCGATAGTCCCTCCGAAACAGATATGAGGTCGCAATGAACCTTACCTATGAACTCCTCTTGAACTTCCTTGAATTTTGAAATTGTGTAAACTGCTTGGAATTGTTTCTCCATTTCATATCTCGTTGCACATGGCACCATTTGCGAGAAGGACTTGAAGTCCGCTTGAAATTCTTTCTCAACCTTACTTCTCAATGCACGTTCATATTGTTTAACAAATTGCGTCAATGTTATCTTCAAATGTACATAACTATCAAAAAATGCATTCATACTCTCACTGCGTTGAGTTGCTGACATCCCTGCCCAAAATGTGGTTTTCAAAAAGCAAGGTACCCAACGTCCCCTATTCTTATACAAACCCACCAGCCATTCATTATCATACAAGTTAAACGTTTCGATCATCACTTTCCTGCCATTTTCGAATTCTTCCGCAGATTGGCAATCATAGACCAAACTGTGTATATTACTAAATATGGAACTCTTATCCACATGGTATCCAAACTTCTCAAACAATTTTTTAAGTATGTGCCATAAGCACCATCTATATTTTGTATTATGGAACACAATTAGTATTGCATTTTGCATAGCCCTATCCTGGTCTGTAATTATCCCATGTGGAGCTTGTCCATGCATATATTGTAGCCATATCCTAAATAGCCACACAAATGTCTCTGTATCCTCATTCAACACCCTACCACATCTAAGGAGTGTCGACTGTCCATGGTGGTTCAGTCCAACAAAAGGGGCAAATGACATATCATATTTATTGGTGAGGTACGTAGTGTCGAACGTAACAACGTCACCGAATTCCTTATATGCCTGCCTACTCCTATTATCTTCCCAGAAAACATTCTGTAGACGCAAATCGTCATCCAAATCCATACTAAAGTAAAAGTCCGAGCATCGTGCTTGCATTTTAGAGAAATATGATTTTATTGCTGCTACGTCACCCTCTCCAAGTCGTAATCACCTCACTTTTTCAACATAGTTTCGACAATCCCGTTCGATGTAAGTCATATTTTCATATCCACCAGCTTCAACAACTGTAGAGTTGTAACTCTTGTGCAGCGGAATTTCTTCCATGTCATTTACTTCAAGTCGTCATTTCACATGTGCGCTCAACTCTCGGTTGTATCGATATAGCCTAGATTTCGAAGGGCTTGTCTTGTGATTGTGATCCAGGTGTACTGTGTTAATTTTTCATACTCCGTAAATATCTGAACATCCAGTGATCTTGGCTTTACATACACTCTGAATGGTTGCTTGCGTGTATTTATGATTCATTTCCCTTCACGACTACAAACAAATGTAATATTTCTCAATACTCCATCATCATCCTTTCTCGAATTTCTTTTTCTAACTGGGAAACCAATTTTGTATGCATACTCTTGTAAAACTGAAATTTCATTTGCATCCTTAAATTTCATACCGACCTCATGTAATACTCCGAAATTTTATGCTCGTTTAAATTTCTTTGGGATAGCAATTTAACTTTCAATATTATTTTTGGCCATACGGTAAAAGGGGACAACACCTTTGTAGTGGTTAATGTTAGAGGTAGTTAATGAATGTAGGCATGAAGTGTCAAGGTTGTGTATACATGAAGTGATTAATAGTTAGTCGAAACTTAAGGCAAGTTTGGATTTAAATGAAGTGGATTATTTTGTTAGGACTTCAATTGACCAAATGATTAAACTATTTTACAATCTACAATTTTTGAATATGTAAGTTGGGTACAAGTTTAAATTTGGGGTACACTTTGTTAACAATGAAAGTTAGCGGGTTTAGATTATATTAGTTGAAAAGAAGAGAGGTTTCCTTTGTAAATCTAGGTTTTAAGGCCACTTATTACCCTATAATCAACCCACTTGTCATTCATCATTACCATACACTTAGATAATAGACTAAACATGTGTACAAGTAAGAAAAAAAAAAGAAAGAAAAATGAAAAGAAAGAGAGGTGAGGCGGTGGAGATGGAAGAGGGAGGAAAAAATATCAACCATTTATCCTTATCTTTATATATATATAAATACATCCATATTCATTGCCATAGAAAGATTTCCTTCATTTTACAAAACACTTATACCCTTAAAAAGAGAGCAAAAATCGAAAATAAGAAAGGAAAGGGAAGGAAGTAAACCTAGCACTTCCAATTTACATTTCAATCGAAGATCTTCAAATTTTACGGTAAGATACTTTCATGCTTAAGAGTTATGATTTTCATGGTAATATTTATGCTTAAGTTATGCATGAAAAACCATAATATGATTATGGTGGACAAGTCCACAAAATTAGATATCTATTTATGCCTTAGGACAAGTCCGAAGGGCACCGGCAAGCCGGAATATGCAAGTATGGGTTTGATTGTATTCTTTTGTGTGGTATTATCATGATAAAAATCCAAGCATGGTATCTTACTGAGTATTTCTTATACTCATAGTATGTTATGCTAAATTTTCAGATCTATGATCGTTGAGTTGATGGGAGTTAGTTGGCTTAAGCGATGATGGATTAAGGACAGATGTTTTTGAACCGAAAGTTTTCTTTTGTATGTTTTGCTCGATGACTATTTTTTCCATTTATTTTTCTTATGGTATTATGTAAAAATATGTACATGACATGATGAAATATGGTATTAATAGCAAATTTTGTAATTTCATCTTTCATGTTATGTTAAGAGACATTTTTGTAGTTTATTTTCCTTAAAAGAGACAAAAGGCAGGAAACGGGACAGTTTCTGGAGTCAATTTCAAAACAATATTTCTAACTCCATAAACGTCCATTTGAGATTATAAAAATATTTCTGTTTTCCTCTTTGAGTTCTCTAAATATGGCCTAATGAATCACTCAATTTGGATATCTATGGCCTGAGTTATCAAGGTTTTAAAGTCTAAAGGTCAATCTAGATTTCCTGTGTAATACTTCACTATTTTCAGTAAAACGTCTATATCATATGATCTTGGAAAATTTTCATATTTTAACCTAGAAAACTACATGAAATTATCTTTCTAATGCCACAAATTTCATAGAAAACGGAGTTGAGATGAATTTTATAAAAATTGTCAAACTTGCTGCCCCAACTAATCTTGACAGTGCCGAGGCCGTATATGTGAAGCATAATTCCTTGTCGACATGCACTTTTATCGGCCATCAAATTTTATAAGAATTATTTTACCAAGTTGAAAATAAGTTTTTCACATGTAACACTTCTATTTAAGAGTATTTGCATGTACCAAAGGCAGAAGCTATTATATTTAGTACGTGACCCTCGAAGCGTAAGTTTGGGGCGTCACAGCGTGGTATCAGAGCAATGTTTACTTTTCTGTAGACTTTTTAAAAGAAAGTTACTGTCCTTAATCATCGGGCAAGCTAGCAACTGACTTTCAACCAACGATCAAGGTAAAAATTTATTTTTAAATTCATGAGTTTTCTTATGTAATGAACTGTTATATCTATGGCTGGATATGGGAATATTTTGAATCAAGTCATGGTAGAGATTATGAAGCCATGAATACTTACACCTAAATATTTATTAGAGCCTTGTAGAGTAACATAATCAATGTTTGTCCTAGTTATGGCACGAATAGTAAGAACCCCCACAAGGACAGAAGCTTGTGGTTTTGCGAAGAAACGGGACATATTATTGGCATTTTACTATAATTATCGTATGCATCCGCTCCATAGTCTCGAACAACATTTGGATCAGCTAGACTGTATTATTGAGATGTTATGGGAGATACACTATAGCTTAAGGGATAAGGTGAAGATACAAAGGTTATATGAAACTGTTCCAGAACCTTGGGCCTCAGTCATAAATGAGATTGTACTATGGTCTGATGATGACCTTTCGTATGAGGACCTTACATATTTGCTTTGAGAGAGCTATGGGACTAGCCGTGATTTACAGCGAAACTTTAGGAAGACTATATCCTTATCCATGAATACCAGTTTACGAGCTACCAAATCTAAGCTAGTTAAGGGACCGTTGGCTAAGTGCTTTTCGAGAGTTCTAGATGAAAGTTTTCCCGTACCATTACCAGATAAATCGGAGCAAAGCACATTAGAAGAAGACCAAGAAGAAGACCCAGAGGAAGACTCCGATAAGGATCCAGAAGAAATGGAAGATTAGACACCATCTTACCTAGCTATCTTTATTTTTGGAATAGAATAGGATGTAATGTGTACCTCTGCTTTTGAATGTATGTATCATACCTCAATATGACTTTTGTTTGTGAGAAATAATAGTGTACATATATATGAAGGAAAGTTGCCTTGGCCTTTGAATTTTTTTTTTTCTAAAGTTAGTATTACGCTCTGAAGTAATTCTAATTGGATGAATATTTTTTTTATTTTTTTTTATTCAAAGGAAATGCCTCCAAAGCGCAACCACGGCAATGCTAATGCTAGTTCTAGTGGTGGTGAAGTTAATGTTGCAAACTTTGCACGAGAACTGCTTGCTATAATGCGAGAGTTGGGACAGCAACAACAGGCACCACCTTTGACTGGGCAACGAACCCTAAATCAACAAATACCAGTTGATCATCAGGAACCTAACCAACCAATTATTCAACCTCAAATAGTACCTAACTCGAGGGATCGAACTGCAATGATAGAGCAGTTTCGTAAAATGAACCCTTCATCATTTGAGGGGAGTACGGATCCCTTAGCAGTTGAGGATTGGTTACGAGAATTAGAACGCATCTTTAAATTTATAAGATGTGACGATGCTGAAAGGGTAACATTTTCAGTGTTAAAGAAGGGGGCTAGTCATTGGTGGGAAATCAGGACATTTCGTTAAAGAATGTCCTCAGAATCAGACACAGAAGGCTGGAGAGGACAAGAAAGGAAAAGCAAGAGTTTTCTCCTTATCCAGGTAAGAAGCTGAACGAGACCCTAATGTCGTCGCAGGTATCATTTCTGTTTCCAATATTCCTACATTTGTACTTATAGATTCTGGAGCTACACATTCGTTCATTTCTTCTTCTTTTGTTGCGAAGTTTAAAGTGGAATGTGAATTCCTTCCGTATACTTTAGAAATATCTCTTCCATCTGGAAAGATACTTGTCGCTAACCAAATAGCTAGAGATCTTAGGATGGAAATTGATGGTAGAGATATAGCGGTAGATCTAATTCCATTAACGATAAAAGACTTTGATGTTATCCTTGGTATGGACTGGTTGTCTAAAAACCATGCAACTATTTATTATACTGAGAGAATGGTGGTTTTTCGAAGATCGGGCGAGGAAGAGTTCCGTTTTGTGGGAACTGAGGTAAATAGCTCGTCTGGTGTAGGGTCAACAACCCAGGATGAAAGGATGCCAAGAAAGGAATTAGATCAAAGATTTCTAGTATCGATGACCGATATTAAACAAGACAAGTTGTCAATTGAGGATGTCCCAATAGTTCGACACTATAAAGACGTTTTTCCAGAAGACCTTCTAGGTGTACCACCAGACAGACAAGTAGAGTTTACCATTGATTTGGTACTAGGAGCAACACCCATTTCAAAGGCTCCATATCGTATGGCACCGTTGGAATTACAAGAGCTGAAGGTACAGTTGAAGGAGCTTCTTGATAAGGGTTTCATTAGACCAAGTGTATCACCGTGGGGTGCACCTGTGTTATTTGTGAAAAAGAAGGATGGAACAATGAGGTTGTGCATTGATTATAGAGAACTGAATCGCCTCACTATCAAAAACAAATACCCACTTCCAAGAATAGAAGATTTGTTTGAGCAGCTTAAGGGGGCTACAGTATTTTCAAAGATCGATCTAAGATCAGGATATCACCAATTAAAGATAAAGTCAGAGGATGTCCCTAAGACGGCTTTTAGGACACGTTATGGTCACTATGAATTTCTGGTGATGCCTTTTGGTTTCACTAATGCCCCGGCAGTATTTATGGATCTAATGAACAGAGTATTCCATGAATACTTAGACCAATTTGTTATAGTTTTCATTGATGACATTTTAATCTATTCGAAGATTAAGGAGGAACACGAGAAACATCTTATGATTGTCTTAGAAACTCTAAGAAAAGAGAAGTTTTATGCCAAATTTAAGAAATGTGAATTCTGGTTGGATAAAATAGTTTTTCTGGGGCACGTAATCACAGCACGAGGAATTGAGGTAGACCCAGCTAAAGTGGAAGCAGTAAATAATTGGGTAAGACCAACCAATGTTAGAGAAATACGTAGTTTCTTGGGATTGGCCGGTTATTATAGAAGATTTATCGAGGGATTTTCTAAAATAGCAGGACCATTGACCCAATTGACTCGAAAAGGGATAAAATTTCAATGGACAGAGAAATGTGAACAAAGCTTCCAAGAGCTGAAACGAAGATTAGTCACAGCTCCAGCGTTAACAATACCTGACGGACCAGAAGGATTTGTCATATATAGTGATGCTTCGAAACAGGGCATAGGATGTGTTCTGATGCAAAAAGGGAAGGTGATAGCCTACGCTTCCAGACAATTGAAACAATATGAACAAAACTACCCAACCCATGATCTAGAATTGACTGCGGTTGTTCATGCTCTCAAGATATGGCGTCATTACTTATATGGAAATAAGTGTGACATTTATACTGATCAGAGTTTGAAGTATTTTTTCACCCAAAAGGAATTAAATATGAGACAGAGGAGATGGCTAGAGCTAGTAAACGATTATGATTGTTCTATACACTACCATCCTGGTAAAGCTAATGTAGTAGCTGATGCTCTTAGCAGAAAGGCAATGGGACAATTAGCAGTACAAATCACTATGCAGGATCAGTTGTTAAAGGATTTCGACAACTTACGTCTAGAAGTAATTGTTCCACCAACCCAAACTAGTACCAGGATAGTGGCTCTAACGATTCGACCAACACTTCGAGATCGAATAAGAGTAGCACAGGATAGTGACCCTTTCCTACAAAAGATCAAATCCGAAGTTGGTACTAGCAAGCGAAAGGATTTTGAATTAGGTAGTGATAAAGCCTTACTCTTTAAAGGAAGGTTATGTGTGCCGAAAGATGAGGAACTGAGGAAAGAAATTCTTGAAGAAGCACACTTAACTCCATATACTGCCCATCCAGGAGGTACAAAAATGTATCGTGATCTAAGGAGTATGTTTTGGTGGATAAATATGAAACGGTGCATAGGTCTTTTTGTCAAGAGGTGCATGACTTGTCAACAAGTGAAAGCTGAACATCAAAGGCCATCTGGATTGTTGGAACCATTAACAATTCCACAATGGAAATGGGAACATATAACTATGAATTTTGTTATGGGATTTCCAAAATCAGCTAGGGGAAATGATGCTATGTGGGTC